GGTTTAGGGTTTAGGGTTTATAACGTTTAGGGGTGTAGGGTTTAGGGTTTAGGGTATACTTGGAGGTTCATGGGTAGTTACAAGTGGGGTTATAAGTAGGGTAACTTTTAATTATAACCCATATTAGGGGACTTATAGCCCTACTTATAACTACCCATGAACCTCCAAGTAGGGCCCTTAATATTTACCTCTATTGATTTTGGGGTTTTCCTTATTATGATTATGACTCTATATCTATATAGAGAGTATAGTTTACCGCCAAGCCCTATTCTAATGATGAAGGCCCCCACATTATAATATGCATGTGCACATATCGTATATACTGGGCCCAGCAGTGCCTGAACAGGGACTACAATAAGCCCAACATTCGATTTGAATTTCAGAGATGTTTTAAGGCCGTACAGGGTTTACTGCGAAGGGGCTCATGGGTGCGGCGTTGACAGGGAATGTTTCATGTTATTGGGGCTTCGACTGTAGGGCGAGTTCGAGTTCTGGGTCATAGTGACCGGTAAGTGGGTGTTTACGTTCTGCGGTTTAGATTGAGGACTCCATTCAAGTTGTTCTAGGCGGGTTCTATCGGGTTTTTGTTGTTCAAGGCCTGCTTTTTCATGATTGTTTTACTCCAGGTTTGCGATTCCAGGTTCCATGACTTTCCTGATCGTGTGTAGCTCTGTGTCGGGTTTAGGGTTTAGGGTCCGCAGAAGGGAATATTCGTGTTGCTAGCCGGTGCTTCGACGCAGTTGCGAGACGATGCCCCGTTCCCGGCAATCCTCCATCAGGGACGTGATGCTACATGAAGGTGTTGACCTGCCTTATGATATCGTTACCTTGAGGTCCGAGTACTCAAAAAACAGGGTTAGGTACCTAAACCCATAGTATTGCAGAAATTGGAGACCTACAGAAATAGTGGGGTACTTGGGACAAAGTCCTTGCCTGGCATATATACCCTAAACCGTACTTGTCACTCTCCTTACCTACAGTTTAGCAGCCAGTACCCCTTATTTACTAGGTAGAACCCATAAAACTGTAGGTGGTTAGAGTTCCAGGTAAACCCCATAGTCTTGCTTCTCAGCACCTGGAGAATTCGTGTAAGCAAACAAAGGCGGGAGGGCACCTTTGGAGATGCAGCCGAGCTTTACCATGTAGCCTTACGTGGCCGAGAAGTCCTAGAAGAGACTTGGTTTGGGGTTTGTTCGGTTGTTTGGGGTTTAGGGTTTAGGCAAGTTTTTGGCAATGTGTCCGTGTAGAGCTACTCCAGGTCAAAGTCTACAACATGTGCCTTCATGAGATATTTTCAGGGATTGCTAAGTCCGAATTTTGTGTCGATCGCTTTGCACCTGTTGGCTCGATCCTTGGCAGTGGACTCCCCCAACTGTAGCCGGGCTCCCATGCCAGCCCTGTAAGGGGGACCCTATTCTCGAACCCGTCCCCTTTCAAAAACCCCTTAAACCGTAAACCCTAATCCTAGGCCTTAGGCCCTAAGCTAAACCCTAAACCCTA